CCTTCGATTTTTCAACTGTAAAGATGGTTCTGGAAAAAAATTAATGAAAGTGTTTAAAACACGTCTATTATTAAGATCCGCAACTTTTTTCGTGACACCGCACGTGAGACTTTTTGAACTTTCAAAATATAGCTTAAAAATAGATTTTTTTGAACCTTTAAAATCCAAAATTTAAGCTCGATTGAATAAAAAATTTTAGAGTCCTACATAAAATACTTATACGGTTTTTAATAAATTGCCCTAGGTAAATAAGGAAATCTCTTTTGATTTAACACTTTCTAAGAGGCAAAAATGAGCAGAACTTATTTTATGAAGACTTACTTCAAGAATACTTTTTTTCATATTACTGTTGAGGCTTTGGGTCATTGTTTTTTTTCTTTTTGACAGTAAAGATAAAAAAATCGACTTCAGCTAGGATTTGACAAATTGTTTTTCACCGAACTAATTCACTAGCTTATGTAAAAATACTAGTACTAACAATGGGTAAAGTATCTATTTAACCACTTTCAAAGTCGCTCTTCGCAATAGTGAAATCCAAATTTTTCAAACGTCCTGTTTTAAAATATTTGTGGCAAATCAAACCAAAAAGCAATACATTTTTTAATTTAGCCTAATATCCCATGTCTTGAAAACTTAACATTATTTACCAATAGTATAGAGTGCATAAATAGAGTTCTAGGCAGTATTTAAAGAGCTAATAAAGTATCTAAGGAATTTTACAAAGTTGTCGGTAAATCATGAAAAATTGGACGAATATTAGGAAGTCTATTCGTAAATTATCATGAATCAACTTCTACAATATCTATAATGACTTCCAAGCCTTAATACTTACAGCCCTACTTGTTACGCGTAACTATATTTTCTCTAAACCCCAATAAGTGAAAATGTCATTTATTCAACGTGTCAAGTTAATTACAGGCATAAAAAAGGGGATTTGACTAATAAGTTAGTTAAAATTCACTCACATTAAAGTGAAAGTGATGACCACTGAGAAATAAGTATAAATTCCCTTGTAAATAAGTGGAATCTTATAGGTAAATCATTGGCTTACTCAAATAAGTGAAATTTCACTTTGAAGTATGTGGAAGGGGTCCGTGGCTGCATCTGCACGATGTTATAATTTTTGCTACATTATTCAACTAATGCAATATGATGAATTTTAATATAATTATTTAGTATAGTCATTTTAAAATGTCCTATACTCTTCAATTTAAATTTACTGTCTAGCTTGTTAAAATTTTTCATCCCACTGCATTACTATTCAATATTGTAAAAATTACTATGCTCAAAGTAACTTTTACATCGTAAACTGTATACGTTCACTTATATAGACTATTCAAACTCAGACAATCATATCAAGCCGTGTTCTCGTGAGTAAGGATGTTATTTCTACTTCAAAACTTACTCGATGGGGGTTCAATTATCCGGCGATGCAAAATTTTACAAAACAAAAGAGAAAGATTTTTATGTTATTTCTGTAATATTAATTTTTTTAACAACCACTTTTTTCAGTGTACCTTTTGTTAATGAAATAATACAATCCATTTATTATATACAACAGATGATACAATTTTTCAATGAGATGATATTCACTTATCAAATCCGTGTACTATCACTTCTTAAAAAGTGAGTTTACAAACGAAAAAAGTGGTCAGCATTTCACTTATACAAAAAGTGATCAATATTTTCACTTATTGATAGCATGACTGTTCCCTTATTTTACGTTCTTTACTTATGACTACGTCAATAGGTGACAATACACTTATTTTAGGTGAAATTTCCCTTATTCAGATTTAGAGAGTTTGCATATAATCAAGAGGAACTCCACAAAAAATGTCTCAAGTTTGCCCCCGTTTTTTTAATTACTGTTTTTTTAGGCACACTCTTGAAACCAGGCTTGTTTTGCTTGCAATGTTGTGTACTATAAGAGAAAAGTCATAAACATGGATTTTTGTATTGATATAATTTTAACAGGTTAATCGTTGAGACACGGCGTCACCTCTATTAAAATCAGTGTACATGATTTTTCCCTCATAGTATATGACATTGCAAGGAAGATAAATCCGCTTTTCAAACGTATGCTTCGGAAAGAAATTCTATTTAATAATTGAGGGCAAAAACATCATATTTTTTGTGGATTTCCTCATATACTTCTCAAACATTACGACATCTGACGTTTCCACTGAAATTTCTGAAGTGTTCTTTAAAAAAAAATTCTGCTTATTTTGGCCTTTCAAAAAAAATAAATAGATGAAGATTTCTTCACACGTAATTAAAGGTATCAAGAATGTTGTAAAAAGTTATTAAATGTACGTTAAAAGAACACAGTTACATCTATTATTTATACAACCAGCTAAAAAGTTTAAGTATTGTGGCACTTAGAAGATATTAAATTTTATATCTTAATGTCTTCAAAAAATTCTTATACAGTTTGGTATATTCGAATAATACATCTTATAAAAATATTCTTCTTTTCCTCCTCGTAAAGCCGCGTTTTCGTATCAACCTAAATGACATACACTCAGACATATACCAAGTACCGAAGCTAAGGCTTCGTGACACACACATAAGGAGAGACCGAGTAAGACAAAGAAGAACTAGTCTACATTTCCTTCTCTCCTTATGCCTCGACAACGCCTGATAAAACTTAATAATTATTTTCTATCCTCTTCCTCTTCCGTGTCTTAACCATTCATAAATAAGCCGACGCTTGAGCCACGATGTTGATTCACACATTGGCCAACGTTCATGCAACGAGACTTGACAACAGCATGCTACACTTCTACCACTTTCTTTCCCTAACACTTACCTTACAATTTCCAGAGACGCCAAGCCGAAAAATAACGTGAACTGTAATACGACCTGATTTTGATAAGCAACCACTGGGACCAGTATCGTTACCATATTATATTCTTTAGCAAGTAAGCATCACCCAAAACCAAAACGGCACATGTAAAGGAAAACGAAAAGCATATAGGAAATCTTTCCCTTTTCCTGCCACGAAATGATGCAGACTAATTCTAAGAACGTATGTGCGTCTTGTCGTCTCTGGCCATAGTGGCAATGATAAGGAGGCAAGATCTTCGACTATATAAGCCCATGACCTCCTTCACGAGCAGCTCAGTCCCAAAGAATTCGTTCAATGGTCAGGCCAGCTTGGGTGTATACCTAGAGCAGTAGCCAGACTAAAGGCATACGACCTGGAGAATCCGGTCCACCATTTTGATTTAAATTATATCTGGCCCCGATCTTGCCTCGAGAGCCACTTGTACCCCCCCTTTTTTCTTCTTTTTAATAAAAAAGCTATTTGTCAGTGTATGAAGCTTCAAAAATTTCTTTAAAAATATTAACTCAACGCATTAAACTTACGTTACTTTTTAGTTTTATTAAAAGCTATTTTTACGGGGATTTTAATTTAACGGAATACTAATAAATTAAAATATGAGTTTTTAAGTACAGTCCTAGACCGTACTAGGAGGTAAGAGAGAAGCTACCGGCTCTCATACCACATACTAGCTGGTATTTAGATATTGGAACAACTTTTACACAAAAAATTTGAAAAAAGACTGCATACTATGTATTTTTTGGGCACATTACTACAATTTTAATTTTTCCAAATATTTAATCGCTATTTTGAAGAGTATCGGCTTAGAAGCAAGTTTGCTATTTGTAACTTAGATCAAAGGCTTAATTTTATAATAAAGCAAAAAGTATCATAATAATTTAAATAATTTTAAATGTTATTTTCATTCAACAACATTATAACTTTTACATCAATTTTTAGTTATTTCTTACATTATCGTTACTTAGATCGTAATAATCACGTTTTACATTAAACAATTAACAGAATCTACAATTTCTCTTGACTGTTACTTAACTATAAAAGTAAATTTAAAAAACATAAGCTGTAATGAAAGAGCTGATTTTTTCTAAAGTTTAAAAATTTTTTTCAATTTATAGCATGAAACNGTGCCGTTCAACCCGGATATTAATGGCCAAGCAGGTGGTGAAAAGAAAATTTTAATTTGCCAAATATTTTAAAAGAAACAACGCTAAGTTGTGTGCCGGTTGGTGCAAATGTCGATGGCCAAACAACTAGCCTCTATTTAAAAAAAAAAATTAAGCAGCGCTAAGTTGTGTGCCGGTTGGTGTACATGCCGATGGCCAGGCATCTAGCCTATATCAAATAAAGATAAGTTGTGTGCCGGTTGGTGTCAATGCCGATGGCCAGGCAACTAGCCTTTATCAAGTAACGGTAAGTTGTTTGCCGGTTGGTGTAAATACCGACGGCCAAGCAGATAGCTCTTAGTTAGCCAAACTAATTTTTTAAACTATACGTCGTGCGTCACTAGTAAAATACCGGCAACCAACGACTATAGACTCCTTAAAAAAGAACCAAGTTACCATTGCCAAATAAATGGCCAGTTACGTGCCGTGGGTGTAAATACTGATGGCCAAGTAGCTAGCTAACCCTTTTGCAATCATCTACCCCGTTCCTACTCCAGTGCTCCGTCTTCAATCCTGCTGTCATGTCCCCAGGCTATTGAGCGAAAGCTTAGGCCTAAATACAAAATTTACTTCTAAGCCGTCTTCGACGTAACAGTGAAAAATTGTACTATAGTAACAAGAAATCGAACATACAAACACACACCGATTCTAATATTGTTTGCCAGAGGAATGTATTTTGACTTATTAGATTAATGACAACAGCATTTTTAGTTCATTCTACGTCTGAAGTTATAATTAGCTTATTATAAAACTTTTCATAGCAGAAAGCAACAAAACACACTACATTTATATTTCTATCATAACTCACAAAGTATACAAGTAATAAAGCCGTTACTTTTTTTTAAATTGTATTTACATACTTTCAAAAAACTAAGCCTAGGACTGAGAAACACAAGATTTTTTTTTAATAATGATAGTTATCTCTCGATTTTTAGCAACCATTACGGGTGACAAATACTTTCAATATTGTGTTTTTACTTTTTTTCATGCAGCAGGTGCATCTATTACAAGGCTCCAGACTCTGCGAGGAATATTTTTTTGCAGCCATTTAATAATCAATTACTACTATGTGTATTACTTACTCTTATGCTTATTGTAATGGTAATGGAAATAATAAATTACGTAACACTTATCATTCATTGGAATGAAGATCTCGAGCATTTTGGCTTAGGAGAAGCCACACTTTGGTGTCTTAGCATCATATGCATGCAAGGTATACTGTAATAGAGTTAAAAAATTTTGTATTCATCTTGACTAAAATGTTTATTAAATACACAACAATGCAGATGCTATCCATTGTTAAGTCTCATAAATCTTTCTCTTGTGACAGTTTTTTTTTTCACGTGGTAAGATTACGTCGAATTTTATTTTAAATTTTATTTCCACCAGAATTTAAAAAAAAAAATTTTTCGTAGCGTGAACTCATACGGTCTTATTTAAATATATGTTTGTTGTCAAACTACATTTATTCTGCTTAGTTACTACAACTGTATAAAAACAAACATTTATAGATCTGAATGAATAAAATGTTCTTAGGAGATACTAAAAATGTAACTCATCAAAAAAAAGACTTTGACCATAAAAAGAAAAAGAAAGAAACAAAAAAAACCGAAAATTTTTACCCAAAAATTATCAAAAATCATAAAAACATTTAATACAAACTATAAAATACTTTTAGGTTTGCAAAGTACAGTTAAGAAAATTTTTTTTAGGTTCTCCTTGGATGCCTCGAACAAGAGCAGGCAAAGCCGTGCTTCTTTCTAGTCTTGTATTTGCTCTTATTATCTATAATTCATATTCAGGATTTATAACATCTATTTTATCAGTAAAAGTCAACACGATCAAGAATATAACAGATTTTTTCCACTTTGACTACGTATTTGGCTACAGTAAAATTGATGAAGCCTATATAACCGTAAGTTAATCTTTTTTCGTAGGTATGACACGACTGTTATCTTGTCATCTACTATCACACTAACGAACAACACCATACCTAACTGTGGTACGGAGTTAGCACAGCTAAATACTTGCTATCTTAAAACACTTATTATTTCAGAATTATTTAATCTGAATAAAACAGTGACGGGCTCATAATTATTTAGTATAAAAGATAAATGTCTCTTACACATTAACGTATATTTTTATATTATATTGTATGAATGTAACATTCAAGATGAATGAAATCATTTCTTTACTTTTGCATTCATTGTTATTTAATCTAATTAAGAGTAAAGTCAGGCCAATGAAGTATAATTGATAATATATATTAATCGAACAACGAATACAAAAATCTCAAATAAACACAAAGTTTAGTTAAACAGAAAAGGTAGTGCAAAAGTTGTTAGTAGTACAACATGAAGTAAAGTAGTGAAGTATCGTATGGGGATGAAGACAACAGATAGAGAAGATGTGCTGCACGAAGCAGCATATACTACTATACTTCACATATGAAATAAAATGCATATTCTACGTATCATACTTGCAATATTTTTTCAGACAAACACTGATTTGCGAAGCTTTTATGTAAAAGCCCTAGAAAGTAATGAAATCAAAGTACCTGAGAAGATAGGCTTGGAAAAAGCTATCAATGGAAGCTATGCTTTTTTCGTCACTGAAACTGTTGCTAAACGTATGCTGAGAAATACGTTTAAACACAAGAGATGTCAATTAGTTGAGCTACGAACACAAACTCCTGGAACATTAGCACTACCTATTTCTAACGACAGTCCCTATAAGAAGATAATTGACATAAGGTAATCATTCCTACATGCATAAATATTACAATCTAATCCTCATAAAGTAATTTTTAATCAAACCGCTCCGAATAACATATAAAATATCGAAATCTAACCGTCTACTAGAAACGAAGAATGTTAAAACTATCTAGTGGGATGAGATGATATAATTGTCCTATTCATAGATTTGAACAAAAAAATTTTGCATTAAGCATTGCAATAAAAATTTTTTTACAAATTTTTGTCTCTTCAAACTCAAAATTGACATTTTTAGATAAGGGTTTGCGTTTTTTGATTTTTTAGCTACAACTCATTAATTTTNGCATAATGGCAAAATATTAGAATAAATTATTTATATTTTAACTATAACAATACGTATGGTTTCAGGATCCATATTATACGTAAGTTAATAGTTAACACATGAAGTTAATAACATAAAAATCTATCTCTCAGTGCAGACGCAACCAATTGCAAAAGCCCTGGCAATCCACTTCAAATAGTGTAAGAAATCATTTTTTCAAGCAGTTGACTGCAGATTAAGTTGTTTCAACGCGTCTGTGTTAAATATTCGTTATTAAAAACAATATGTCAACTTTCTGACTAGAGGTTTTAGAATTTTTTGAAATATTTATATTAGAATGCTTAATAACACAATACGATTAGCTAAAGTTGATAAATAGGCCAACTTCAGAATTTGATCCCGATAGGCTGTTTTTTAGAAATATTATTTTTTTTATTCACAGTATTCTACGCATGTGGCAGTATGGGATATTACCAAAAATAGTACTACGCATTAAGCCCCCTTTATTAGACTGCAATGGTATCGTTGAATTCAATAAGGCTAGATTCGCTGATGTCTATGGAGCTTTTTGTATTCTTGGAGCTGGTATTGTGATTTCTCTTGGTATATTTTTTATGGAACGGACTTGGGCAAGCAAGCGACGACTAACACTCATACAAAGGCACATTAAAGGCACTTCTCAACCGTCTCTTCGTCACAAGAACAAAATTATAGTCACAGCCAGGTAATAATAGTTTGTTTATTACAGGATACGGTCATGGTATGCACATTTTTTTTTTTCGTTTGTCGCAGTAATTTCAAGGCTCTCGTAATTGTAAACAAAAGGAGAATACTAAAAACTCAAGAGACTAAGTTATTTACTAATTTTAATATTTTCATAGCGTTTGTATCCTTATTTTAAGAAACCATTAGAAAGCGTAAACAATACGAAAGAAGTGCCGAGCATCTATTAACTGTATTCACTTGAATTATTATCGTGGCAGATAACTAAAACTGTTTTTTGATAACAATTATCAAGTATTTTGATATAAAAATATGTTGGGCACAACGTAGTACTGATAAATTATTTAAATAATATTTTTTGTTTGTTCTCAATGAAATCTGTCAGTTTGATACAGTTCCATTTTTAACATATAAAATACATGTTTTCAAAGGCTTGCAAAAAACAATTTTCGGAGGCATCAATATTCGGAGGATTGCAGATTCTGAGGGAAGTTTTTAGCGGAATCATCTGTTGACTGACTTTTTAATACATTTTTTGTACGTATGTAATCATAAGAATTACTAATACTTTTAGTGACAGTAGGTGGATGGTTTTTCGTATATTCTCGCTTTAATTTCATTAATTACTGATTAATTTCTAATTAGAAATTTATTGTTCCAGTCAATCTATTTTATTGACAGCTGCTGGTACATCAAAGTTGTTTTTGTATGAGACTAAAATAGAGAGTGTTGACTAAAAAAATTTTTCTCTCCTAATCTTTTTAAAGATTATTTCAATTCGTCATCTGCTTATATCTCTTTCAGAAGAGATATTCGATTTACTATGATAGTAATGATACCCAGCGCTATGGTCAACAATTTTTTGCAAAGCTGACTAGATAACGGACAATGCCTACCACGCTCTATCTAGAAAAAATGTTTATCATGGTTAACAAAATTAACGCAAAACTGTGCAAGTATTTAGAAAGGATATAAGCAATCAATTCTAAAAAATATGTGTAAAACCATTTTTGTGTGCGTATTATTCATCAACTGATAAAGTCGAGCAGGCTAAGCCGTTGGTGTTGTTTTGACAGTGCGAGATACACGAAAGTTAACGTCATACTAGCTTCTGCTGTAGTATTAATACTGTTTCGAGGCCTTCGGCTTTTTTATGGGCTATAAGTTATGGACGTTCCAAAGTCCATAAATTTTCCATAAATTGTTCATATATAGCTTACATTATCCTTTGTTCAGTATAAACTGTATTTTCAACCATTTTGTTCTATATAGCAAGCGGAACCTTTATATGATACACAAAAATGTGTCATCCAATTTTTTATGCAGAGTTTGAATGAGTTAAAAACTGATGTATTGGTTACATACTTGTATAGCTTTATACTTATGATAAAACCAAAAGCTTGCAATCAGCAAACTATCAAATTTTTCGTTTTATATTTACACATGCTCTCGTAATTTTGCATGACAGGTTTTATACATGACCTCCGTTTAGCACAGAGAGTCAGTCTTCACTTTAGTCAGCTAATTATGCATACACATACCTTACTCGTTGTAAATATATTGCCGCTTTTATAACGCATTCTTTTCATTCATAGTAAATAATTGATTTGCCCCTTATATATTAAGCTGTGTCTTACAACTACCAGTAATTTATCATATAGTTTCTGTTGTAACAATTTATGTCTAGCAGAAGTCGAAGTTTAACAATTTTTAACTTTATGATTTCAGATTACCCATGAAAATTATTGGTATTGATCGTGAAACTCATCCATTCCATGATCAGCCAAAAAAAATCAGCAGCAGTCTCAAGTCACTTTTGTCCATAAGTACAATTAAAAAAGAAAACGAAAAAAATTCAAAAAATCATAACTTAAATTCTCAGCTGTATCCGTATTATCCGTGAAAAAATACTTTTAGATTAAATTTGTTCGTGAGTTTCTATGTACTAGTACTGTAGTTTTAACAAAAGTTCTTGTCATTATTCATCAATACAATATTTACGCAATAGAAGCATTTCCGTTAAATCTTTTCCCAACTGTAATATACTATTCTTTCTTTTTTGAATATTCAGTAGCGTGAGATCACTACAAGGTAAGTTTGAGAAACGGGTGAAGCTGTAAACCGTATTACTTTTGAATTTGGAGTCGTATAATCGATTTTTCAAATAGAAAAAAATAATTGTATAATTATATCGGTACTCCTCGTGTATTTTGGTTAAATTTAGTCTTTTTTATTCTATTCTAGAGTTTTAAAAATAAATCTGGATTAAAGAGTCATTATAATAACGAAAATAATACTTATGCACATTGAAGTACTTAATCCAAAATTTTATTTAGGTTTAACCTTCACCAAATGTTATCTTATCGTAAGTTTAGCTGGAAGGCAAATTTCTCCTGTATAGTTGGGAAGGGTCTGTTTTTCAAATGGAAAATTGTTGTCTACTGTGTAATATTAGCTGTCCAGGAGCCAACCAGAAGAGTTCTGGGCTCATAGAAATATTCATGAAATTTAGTCATAAGACAGCATTCATTCGGGCACTAACAATTCAGCGTGGTAATGCCATGAGAATGACTGCAAAAACAAATAAGACGAAATTTCGTAATGCAAATTTGAATTACTTGCTTAGCTCGTCACAGTATTAATAGCTTTTGCATCTAAGTATAGGTTCCAGAGCCCTTGTTAAAAAAAAAAGTTTGCCACATTAAGAGAAGCATGTGTGTACTATCAAAGCACAAGTGTGTTAAAAAAAATTAGTTTACATGTTCCTTATGACTTTTTTAATTCTAACTGTGCACAGACGGCATGTTAATAGTTACCGTGCCACATTTAATACTTTTACTACTCTAATATTATTAAAACAATGAATTATGCAATGACAATACAACAAGATTACGTGAAGTCCTCTATTCTATGTAATAAAAATGTAAACGAAGTTCACAATTTATCAGTTAAAATATCATTAGCATAATGGCAAAATATTAGAATAAATTATTTATATTTTAACTATAACAATACGTATGGTTTCAGGATCCATATTATACGTAAGTTAATAGTTAACACATGAAGTTAATAACATAAAAATCTATCTCTCAGTGCAGACGCAACCAATTGCAAAAGCCCTGGCAATCCACTTCAAATAGTGTAAGAAATCATTTTTTCAAGCAGTTGACTGCAGATTAAGTTGTTTCAACGCGTCTGTGTTAAATATTCGTTATTAAAAATAAATTTTATTTTAACTTGTATTAGTTTCTTGATAAAAAAATATCGTTTTTATCAAAATTATTTTAAATCAATTGTTATTAAAAAAAGATCTCAGTTTTTTAGCTGTTACAGTTATCTATTGTGATAAAAAATATTATATTTAGCTGTTGTTAAAAACAGTTTTTACAAGCAATCTTAATAAACTTAATTATTTAATTAATAACACTAAAATTCAATAACTTTCATTGGTTAAAATATGAAATTTTTTATCTGTCAATTTTTTGTGCATCATTAACCTACTCGTTTTTCCAAAACGGTTACCAGATATATTTAAAATTTGAATGCATGTTCAGTTCATATTATTTTGCATTCCTCCACTTAAACATAATTAATAAACGCATAACCTTTTTCACAAATTCAATCTTAACTCTCAATTTACTTGTTGTATCACATAGTAATGCACTAAACACTAGTTGCATCGATTTAAATAAGAGCGCCAAGGAAAAACGGCGTCCAATAAGTTACACCGGAATCCGCTAGGATTTTTTAGTCGAAAATTTAACGTTTCACAAGTGAAGTGTTCAAGTAGTGAGAATAATTAGAAGTAAAATTGAAGTGATCGGTATACTTACCCGGCGTTGGGGATACCACGATCACGAAGATGGTTCCCCCAGGGTGAGGCTCCGTCCTTGCACTATGATTGGGCTGACCCTTGCGAATATTCCTCTTGTGGATATCTCGGGCGCACTATTTTTGGTAGCTGGGACTGCGTTCGCGCAATCCCGACAAAATAATTCAAACATATTATTTTGTATTGGAATTGGAACTTATAGTAGGTTGAAAGACAGTGAGGCAGATAGTCTCTATTCACAGCACATGTCAGTGGTGGTCAATTTGAAATTCTAAATAACGTTTCACATCACATCACTCTACAAAAAGATTCTATAATCAAGCTATCCCTGCATTGCGCAAGTCCACAGGGGCAGCGCAATTTTAGAAGAAGCTACAGAAGTGCCTAAGCCCCACCACTCGGGCGTACATGCAGGCATACCTGTTCGAGGAGAAAAAAGGCTTAAAATACTTTGCGCTATGCTTGTTGCCGTTCATCATGAACATTATTGTTAAGTGATTTGTAAGAACATTTTTTCTATTACTCTTCATTAATTATAATACCATACTGTTAAAAAAACTAATGATAAGTTTCTCCATCAAAATAAAGACAGCTCTTATAGTTTATTTTTTAGTAGCCAAAATATAGGTTACGTTGTTACTTGTTCTCTTAGTGCCAAAGATAACTGATCTTTCTCAATGGTTTCAACAAATTATTAATTCAATTTTAAAAGTTAATAGACTTATGGATATCAGTACTATACAATTATTTATATGTATTCATACTTCATTCATTCTAGCTATTTACATGAGTTTTGTTTTTATCTCAATACATGGCTCTTTCGTTCATTCATACTTTTTTTAAGCATAATGTTGCAAGACAGATGGCTCTAAGTTGTGGGCATAAGAAAAAAGTTTTAAAATATTTTTATAAGGAATACAGTTAACAAATGCAAGAATATTAAAAAAAGTTGCCTTGATGAAATTATTATAGCCAGTATTATACAATTTAAAGGAAGTAATTGTAACTTAGGTTACCAAAGCATGACACAGCGCATGAAAAACTACAACGGTATTCAATAAGCCAAAAATATAGTACTGAAGTTGTTAAGAGAACTTGATCTAACTGGTGTTGAATCAAGATGAAAGTACAACCTGAAAAGAAGAGTATAGTGTTCCTGGACCTTACTACTTATGGCATGCTGACGGTAACGATAAGCTCAAGAGATACGGGTTTGTAATTTATGGAATCATCAGAAGTTTTTCGAAGTAGGTGCTACTTCTGGAAGTTGGTACTACAAAAAATGATTCCAAAGTAATAGGCGATTACTACTGTGATCTAATTGAAAAATTAAATTACTTATGTTCTATTACTAGAATTGATCACGGAATAGCAATTATAATTATGAAAAACGCTCAGATAGCTTTATGGTATAATCACAACGATAAAAACGCCAGCCGACAATTAAGTCTAGTTGCGTGGATATATTTCTGAACAGTGGACACCACGAGTGCATGTGAAGCTACGAATAAGCGTAAGGCTTGGGTTGGTTAGACAATTTAAGAATCGATTAACGGGAACCATGACGATGTCTTACCAGCAACTTAATCGGTTTTCCAGAACCTGCCTCTGCTCGAACAACTCACCTCGTACCATAACGACAGGCCCTCCTTTCTTCATTTTGAACTATTTCTAAACTACGTCTACGCTTAAACCAGCACTAATGCTACCAATTTTTTCCGCTTTTCGCGCAGCCTACACACACACTATCAATCTAGCTAAAAACACGCGCTCTTAACCACACATCGCTCACACACACCTCTCTGCAACAACCTCGACCTATTCCGACTCTTTGTGTCACAACAATGATGGAAATTGATGATTTCATAAGTTTCCGGGTGATAGCAAGTACATTTTCGTGAAAAATGCGTTCAGAATACACGAAAAAGTGTTGGCTTAGAAAACATGGGTCAAGGCAGTAGGTATAAAAACCCTCAAGTGTCAAACTATGACATTTAGCTCAAGACACTTTAAAAAAAAAGTTTTTTTTACTGAATCCTACACCAGTAAGTTTATCGTTTGAAATTATAATAAATACTGATTAAAAAAGTAGTTGTTGCAAGCACTAACATATATTTTTTTATTTTATTTTTAGTTGACAGTAAAAAAAGGAAATTTAAAAGAACAGAATTCTAACACAGTGCTTTCCCCACAAGCCTGTGGTTGCAAAGAATAGAGCAAGTTAATTGTCTCAAAGAATTTTGAATACATTATTTAGCAAGGAAAGTGTAAATGTCTAAATATTAACAAGAATAGTGAATTGTGTGAGATTAGAAATAATGAGAGGGCGTTTTAAAAAGATGTAGAAGGAAGAACAATACCGGAGGAAGTAATAGAAGAAAGTGTCATAGAAAATAATGAAGTAGCTCATTTAATAGAGGTCAATCATAGTTATGCCATGGAGAAAGCTGCAGATGTTAATAAAATTTCGATAACAAGCTTAAGGACGTTCGGTAGTGTTAGCGGGGGGAAACATTTGCGCGGTGAGGGGAAACCAGCGATGAATGAAGATTTGGCAACGTCGTACGGGTCTTAAATGTGTGAGTGTTCATGTACACGCATCAGGTGTCTCTGCACACTCTACACAGTCTACACTGTCTGCTCGTCTGCTGCGTGCTGCGTCGGTTACGACAGCGTTCGTGTATCAATGTTTTTGTGATAAAGCTGTAAGTATTTGTTACTGATTTATTATAAAAGTGTAGTGAAAATGAATAAATGAGTAATTAGAAAGACTTGTAACAATTGTATTTCTATTTGTAGATTTCATTCGTAAGAATGCCCAAAGCCAAACAATATAACCTTCAAACTACGAAGAATGAGAAAGGAACAGAAATAGTTCGATTTAAAGGAAAATTTACAAAAAAATATAAAGTTGAAAGGCATTTACGAACTATGTTGAGGAACAAGGTACAAAAAGAGAAGAGTGGTTGTACCAGTTATGTCAGAGATATTCCTATTGATGGAGAGCGAGTAATTGATGTAAAAACCATGGCCAAGAAAATGTTTTGTGAAAAATGCAAGGATAAATTAGGCTTGTGTGATATCCAAGGAGAAGTCGTTCAAGGCTTGGGTTCAATTTTTGATGTTGAATGTTCTAAATGCAATCACGTAACGAACATTCATTCAAGTGAAAAGTACGTCAATCCTGTAACTGGAATAAGTTCCTTTGCAATAAACACTAAACTATCACTTGGTAAGTTTTCTATCACATATCAGCATTCAAATTATTTCAGAACAAAAGATGATAAATTTTTCATCTTGCAGGAGCTTTGAATTCTGGGTTAGGGCCAACTAAGACAAACAAACTTCTTAAAACAATTGGTTTACCTGGAGTTAATGACAAAACTTTCAAAGTACATGAGCGTCTGGTGGGACCAGTCATTGAAGAAGTTGCCAGGGAGTCTTGCATCGAAGCCGTGACCGTCGAAAAGGAATTGACAGAAAAAAATGTAGAGGATTTAAAATTGTGCCTGTAAGTTTTTTTTTGTGTACCTGCGCGTACTCTCCAAAACCAAATTATAGCGCAAACAATATTTCAGAGTGACAAGTAATATTTCGAAGCACTATTAGAATTAGTGATATATACTTATCAGTTTGAAATAGTGTACTAGCAATCTTTCAAAGTGATTAACAACAATAGTGTTTTATAGAGTACAAACAGTTATCGTACGTTTCCTAGCGCTAGGAAAATATTTTTATACAGACAATTTTTAATGCCGGAACCGATTTATTTATTTTAAAATTCATAATTATTTTTTATAGAGTTTTTTATATACAATTGATCAAACTGTGACAGTAATTTTTTTGTTGAGAAGTGCTTTTTTATGTATGTACGCAAAGGTGTGAGTGTGCATATGAGTGATTGCGTGTTTTTATGCAAATATATATGTATGTGACTAAATATGTACATGTATTATCACCGCTTGAGGCGATTGTATTTTTTTTGGAATCAATTTTTACTTAGAGTATTCTCTTATTGAATTTATGTTGATGATGGACTTATACTTTTGTATTCATGATTTGTATGTACTAAACTTTTTGTTACTCTGAATATGTGTTTTTATTTTTCTTATCAATTTCCATCACTTTTAGTTCACCTCACCTTCAAGACGGGTTCATTCTGACTACTAAACAAGCGAAAAACAGCGAAGAAAAAAGAATTACCAGGCTTTTCGCAAGCTATGACATGGGCTGGAGTCAGAGGTCGACAGGTCATCGATACGACAGCTTGAATGGTTTTTGTACTCTTGTAGGATATGTGACTGATAAGGTTCTTGATTTTTGCACCAAAAATAGAAAATGTAGGACTTGTGATATTAATACTAAGAATGGAGTACAAACAGAGCACGACTGCAGACTGAATCACTATGGCACAGCAAAATCTATGGAGGCTGAAGGCGCAGTTCAGCTCATAGCAAACAGTTCAATTCTAAAAAATGCTGGCGCTGAAA